ATTTTACAGATCGAACAATTGTTAAAGTATCTTAATAAAATATAACAAAAAGGAGCCGAGAAACTTTCTTCCTGAAACTGCACTGATCTAGACTTGCCAACTATCATAGACTTGCATGGGCTGTATTGGATATATTTGTTTCACTTTCCCTATGACACATACAGAGGTTGGAATTGTTCATTTAATTCATCAAGCAATTCAAACACAAATTAAAATGTGCAGTAAAATAAAAAAGCTAGACATGCAAATGGAGTGGGTAGAGCATGTAAATTCAGCGTTTATTCATATTGACCAAGTAACTTGTAAAATGTGGCCTGTTGCGTAACATGATCAATAGTTTTGTAATATAATCTTCAAACACATACATATAGCTCATACTACAACACAATCATTGAACAAATCAATGTGAAGGCCTCTATCAGGCGTCAACAGGTGCAACCATGGCAACAGTAACAGCTGTATTTTAGCACTATTGGATGCGGAGGCAATGTACAGATGCATGCATCATGTTCATTATAGCACTAACATTGCATAGGCAGTTTTATGTACATAGACAATTTGAAACGTTCATATTTTCATTCTAAGAAGACACATAGGAATGCCTGAACTTTCAGTGCCAGACAGAATCATAAAGAACAATATCTATGTGTGTACATTCTCGGATATCAACCCCCTTTTGAATCTTGATAAAACTTCCGAACAAAATAAGCTACAGAAACCATATCAGTGCAACATAGTGACACATTACCCAGAAGGGCTGATCATAGGACCAGATCAATGTAATCGCTTATTCTAGTTAAAATTATTATATACACACACACATACATAAAATTAAAGGGTTGATATGAGAAGTAAAATTGACAAATTTTGGGTTGGCTCAATCTTAAAAAACACAACCTACTCGGTCTGACCTAAAAAATGTTAATCTTACATGTGATATAGGTGTGCTGTGATCGACATAGGATCCATTGTCACCATTCTGACATAGACAGTAGACCTGACAGTCAGACCAAAACCTGAAAGGTTCTAAGTAACTTTATATTAACATTATACTGACATATATCTCATCTTTGAATAACGAATCCCCTTTCATCTCTCAATTTGGCACAAATAATTTGAAAACATTTCCACATTGGTTTTGCATGCATCAAAATCCTAAACAATAAATATGAAGATATGTGATATAATATGACCTATGCTAGTATGACATGGTATTAATTGTTATAAAATGTTGGCTTTTAGCCTGAATATGTACAAAACAACATGTGCAAATGCCCTTGAGATCACTATGTGACTACATCCGCCACAGGATGTTTTTGTGTAGTTGAAATGACACTATTGCAATTTCAGCATTGTTTGGTTTTATGAACATGACACTTTAAAAAAAAAAAGATTTACATCTGCTAGTATATTGCTGCATTTAATGTTATGATTATTGTTGTAGGTCCTCCATTGCAGGTACGATGTGTGTATGTGTTCGGTTTTGTTTGTTTGTTTGTTTGTTGCTCAGCAATGTTCCAGCTATATGACGGCGGTCTGTAAATAATCAAGTCTGGACCAGACAATCCAGTGATTGACATCATGAGTATCAGTATACTATGATATGCATCAACCAGTCAGCAAGCCTGGCCACCCGATCCAGTTCTAACCTGGATGTTCCTGTGAAGTGACACAACGGACAGAGTAAAGCAGGGGTAGTTGGTCATTCACCTACAGCCGGTTGTTACTGACACTTGAGTAAGTGAGTGAGTGAGTGAGTGAGTGAGTGGATGTTGACAAATGCCAGTCAGCTAACTTCCAGGTATACCATGCCAGGCCCCAAAATAATATCATAAAGACCAGACAAACCAGTGATAGAAAGCATGAACAACACCATCAGGTTACAATGACATGCAATCAGCCAGGTTACAGAGCCCCAGCACTGATCCCCATTGTAGTCAGCTCTTACGACAAGCCTGAGGCCTTGGGACTGGGACTTCAACAGGGGACTTCTAAAGACGTCCTATTACATGATTAAACTTGTTTAAATAAATACAGGGTCTCTGGTTACTAGGAACACTTATCACGGTTATGCAATCTCATTAAAAGCAGATCCTAGTTTTCGCTACCGCTAAAACAGAGATCTGAAGACATCCCATTAGGGGTCACGTCAGAACGACCTTTCATCCGACCAATCAGTGCGTCGCTTACCAGATTATGAAAGTGACTGTCGGAATGTGATTACTAATCATGCAATCTCGAAAACTTTAACGATATTCCGAACGATAGTTACGGGTTTAACGACTGAATCCTTACAATCTAGACCATCTATTAGTCATTCCAGAATGTTTTTTGGTTCAGGTTCCAAATTTGTAATCGAGAATTTCAAAGCATAGTCGCCAATTTGAAATTTGTGCCGTAAAGCATAAAAAAGCTGGTTTCTGATTGGTCATTCCATTGGTTGGTCAAAGTTCGCGCAAGGTCGGTCTGACGTGACCCGTGATGGGATGTCCTCAGATCTTTGTTTAGCAGTAGCGAGAACTAAGATCTGATTTGAATGAGACTGCACCGTTATGTGGCTTGCCTGGTTTTGTCATTTATAGAAAGTCTGTATGATTAATGACATGGTACAACCTAGTGTCCTTCCACATACATATCTTTCAAAACTGTTCTATACATTTATTTTTATGTAAAGAAATTTGGGTTGCAATGGGATGAAATAGGTATGGCAGATGTGAACATGGCATAGGTTGTTCTTACCGAAAGTAATCAACAGACTTGAACAAATAACAATTAGATGTCATAAGACGATGAAGGAAAACACCACAGAAATGTTAGAACAAGTTGGGAAATTGCATTCTAGTTTCTATACAAATATAGCCCTCGGGCAACAGGACATGCAGTGCAGCATGAGTGTGTTCTGACATGGCAGTACAGAAGTCATTGCACACAGATTGCTGGAGGGTAACAGTGCATGTCAGGAGTGAGCCTGACAGATAGGACAGAACTAATCATTTTCACACAATCATTAACATCACAGTCTCTGTCATAGACTCTATTTGATTTCATGAATGTTTAATGGCACCCCATGTAGCAAGTTATGTCGTTCCCTGACTTTCTACTTTCTTCTCCCTGTAAAACCACAGACACAACTGATCTCTCGAATAATCTTAAAGGTCGCTGTCCTGAAATACCTTGTCCTGCTTACAAAACCTAAATGGACTGCATATGGGATCAGCTCAGTTGCCATTAAACATACCATATATCTATACTTCATCAAGAATGAATTATCATTTAAAAAGTCATAAACAAAGCTAAATGGCCAAACTAACATTTAACATCTGATCATTACAGCAAAAGCTAAAAACATTTGATTAATATGCCTTCCCCTGATAATCCATCATATAAATACCATGCTTGGATAACCATAAAGTATTATGGAATATGAAGTATTGCCACCGGTGTGAAGAATGGAGATAATGTACTATATGATAGAAACATCTGGGGCACTTTTTGGGATTACAGATCTAAAACAAAACTCAGTATCTGCGCTCAAGTAGATATAGAAATAGAGCCAGAATGCTATGCAGCTCACCTGACTTATCAACTTAATGATGCTTTAACCTTACTTGGGTACAAATATCTATGGCGAGGTAAGATAAATTGGTGCACTAGATTGTGAAGAAAAGAAAAAAAAGATTTTAGGACAGAGTGAAACTAGTGATGCCTTGAACCTTTCACGTCCATTACATTCACACAAAGTTTAAGTCTTGTGCCCAGTGGTTCAAAAATTCAAACCCTTTTTTGTAAAATTTGATTTTTTAAGTATTTAAGAGGAGATATCGAAAATGCAGGAATATTTGATATGTGAAAGTCAAAGGTCACAACTGGACACAAAATTCAAATTTCCCCAAAAATGTTTTATATGGTATTCCAGGAAACCACTTACTTGCTGCATATCAAACATGAAACTCAGAAAGGGCTGAGTTATGTCCAAAACTGATATTTTACAATATGACAGCCATAAATGGTATCATTCAAACAAAAATTCATCTCAATAGGCCTTGCAGTTTCAGAGAAGATGTCAAGAAGGCAAAAGTTGACGACAGACAGACAACTAGATGGATGACAGACAATTGTCAGTCAAGTGTGATCGAAACCTAGAAAATGATTTCTGAAATGACCTATTAGTAATATTGTTGCTCAGAAGGAATGAAAGACAAAGATATATTTTCCATGGCAAGACAAAGCATTAATTCCTCTCGCCTAATGAACTATTAGCCATAAACCAAATTAGATAGATAGACATCATTACATTTAGTCCACATTTAAGAAATATTGTGTCAGCAGATCTGTAAACCAAATAATTAACCCCAAATGCATAACTGTCTGTAACGGTCTCCTGCATAGCAGATGTACACTGACACCTTATCTGCACAATTTTTATCACTGAAATATGTAACGGCTGCCATCAACACACAACTGTGTACATTTTAATGAAATTCTAAATGCTGATACTGATACTCATGAACCTAAATATATCAGATCTGACAGACAGCCGCATACATATTATGTTAGAAACTGGGAATACATCTTGATATTGTCACTATTCATTAGTCAGAAGTAGTTCATGGTATTTTCCCAAGGCATCACGGCAGTAACATAGTGCAAGCTACCTGAAACCCTCATAATCTATTATCAGTCGTCTCATATATCTGCATTGTTATTAAACCTTTCATTTCAACAGTTATAGTTATCCTTGAAATCAGGATACTGATGGCTGAGTTATCAAAGGTGTTGCAATCAACTGCGCAGAGTTGTGTCCCTTAGGTGTGCCAGAAACCTATGATCATAGGTTGGAATCCCAGATCACCCTGATTATATCAGCACCATACCAGTGCCTGTGGTATGGTGGTGAATGTCTGACCTGCATCTCTTTGTACTGCTCCTACAACAAGCTGAACAGCTGTGACATAACTGACACCAGCACTGAACCAAACTCACTCGCTCACTCGCTCACTCACTCACTCACTCACTCACTGTAATCAAATCTGTAATCAAAGCAAGTGGTTTTACTGGTTGAATACCCCTTTCTTCTACTGATAAACATCATGACCGAAATCATTAAATGCTAGGCTGGGACGGGTAACTCGGCTACTCAGGTCAGTTGGGTTCTGAGTAGGACCTGGGTACCCACAGGTCTACCTGGACCCGTGGTTAGTCACGTGATATATTGTTTAATGACAAAAATTACCTAGAACTCCATGGTTACACTAAAAGTCATTAATGTTCGCATTTCTTTCTGACTATGCACTCATTCCTTATGACCTTTATAGGTTTTTAAAATAAAATTTTAGGGTTGGGTAATAGCTGGATGGGTATGTGGGTAGAAAATTTGGACTCGTCCCAGCCCTATTGAATACATATTTAACAAGATCCCAATACTGCGGAGAGGGACTGTCCTTGTGTATTAAATACAGGTTTAAATCTGTGCACAGAGGTGGGAAATGTTCAACTCAAGGTTATTCTTTTTGTTATAGAACAAAGATGCCATTGTTTCGAACAGCACCTCCTAGAACCTCTTCAAACTGTGCAGACTCCTGATGAAGATCAGCTAGTTAGCACACAGATGTAGTATCAGAAAGCTTGTGAAAGGGTGGACGGTGTACAACAGACAAGCTATCCGAACAATGACTATAGTAGCCAGCAGACAGCAGTGATAGACTACTTAACCCACACTGCTCCCACAAGGTTCATACTACCCCACTCTATGCATGTGTGCAGCATACCGTCTAGCTGATGTGAAGATGAGTGAAGACGTCAGACGTCCGACAACTTTGTCAGAAGTGTTGGACTCCCCTAACACCCATACTGTTCCACTCGATGCATTAATGCGACACAGCTAGCTAACCTGAGTGATTATGTGGACAGCAGATGTCAATGGGAGCTGACATGATTGTCTGTCTTCTTGCACCAACAAGTTTCTCCTAGATGCACAGTAAACAGCATGAGGTGTATGCAATAGACAGCAGCATTTACCTCCTGAAGCACATAGTAAGACACGTATCTCATCACTACCTGACTGGGAGGCTGGTGCTATAAGACCGAGAAGGACTTGAAACTGTCTTTGTGTCGATCGCTACCTGCAGGGGAGGCCAGTGCTATAAAGTGGAGAAGGACTTGAGATTGTCTCTGTAGGGAGTCCACTGAGATTGTCTCTGTAGGGAGTCCACTACAACCTGCAGGGAAGTCAGTGCTATAAGATGGAGAAGGACTTGAGATTGTCTCTGAGTATGGAGTCCATCACGACCTGGAACACCACCTGAATGTTGGATGTGTCTGTTGCTGTGGTGAAGTGTGGGTAGATGACCTTTGTCTGGAGATTGTTCTGCATCATGAACAAGTGCTGGATGTAGCGGAGAGCACTGTCAACATCACGCTCTGGACCTGAAAACATTTGAAATAGTTTTGTCAACCAAGTTAGGCTACAAACAAAAAATAAATCTAAGGCTCTGAATGTTTCTGAAATCTTTTGCAAAATTATGTTAAAGGCTCTGAATGTCTATGAAATCTTTTGCAAAATTATGTTAACGATTCCATAAAGGTCTTAATACAAAGAGTGGAGACAAAGAAAGTAAATACCAAAATAAACTTGTACATTTGATCACATATTAAGTCCATTTCAACATGATTGTGACAGAAGCCAAAATGGTCATTACATGAAGGTTAAAATTTTGCAAAATACAAAATGTATCAAAATGCACAATAACATGTTAAAGAAGAAATGGCTGAGTATTAGGAATTGTGTTATATAGAGAATCTCACCCGAGTGTCTTTTGATATCAAATATATCAACACGAGTTAATAAAAGTGGAAAAACTCCGAGGCTTGCCAAGGCGTTTTTCCACTTTTATCTTACGAGTGTTGATATATTTGACATCAAAAGACACTCGGGTGAAACTTGATTTATCATCCAACATCATTCTTCCAACTTTTTCAGTTTGTAGACAGTAATAAGCCGTGTCTTAAGTGTAAAAAGTACTGCTAACAGCTTCAGTAGCAGAGCCATTAGTGATGTCATTTGATTGTGACGTCATGGTAACCAATGTCACAATGGTCTGCAAAAGCGATATCTCCCGTGGGAGCCAGTTTTGGATGTTAAATTATTTAATCAGCTCAGAAAGCTGGTAGCATATTTCACAGTTTCGGTGTAACATTTCTGCTTCATCAGCCTTGAAATATTGAAATGGAAAAATGTCAGTGCCGTAGCCAGCCGGGGGGCAGGGTGGGCAGTTGCCCCCCCTGGATTTTTTATAGAAAACATTTTTCCTTGTGAAAGTTAACTTGAATAAGAAATAAAAAAAACTTATTTGCCCCCCCCTGTCAAAAAAAGTTAACTACGGCCTTGAATGTATATGACAGACGAACAGACACATGACATACAACTCACCATGACATAACCTCACTGAAACTTATCAACAATCAACTACAACTTTGCTTCTAACACTGTAAATCTGGTACTGGCATGGACACCTTTAATGGCACCTAGTCATTCTCACAGAATATAATCCACTATCCTTGTATCTTTAACAAACAAACAGGAAATATATCCGCACTATACAGCTGTCAAAAATAGAAATGTTCAATAGTAAAATTAAGCCCTAACAAACTGATCATCAGTTCGTCGGAATCACTTCCCCTTGTGAGGCTCAAATGACTATACTCAGCTACAAAATTACCCCCAAGGGGAAAAACCTCATTAAAAGTTTCTAAAAAGGCCCCAAAGCCAAACTATAAATCTTAAATGTCACATCGTGGGAAAAGCCTTGTTATATACCGTCTGGGACAGTACATGTACGATGCATGGACTTCATGTGTCTGCATCTTCTCATTTCTCACTAAAATACACCAAGAGTTGAAAATCAATTTGTTGTGTCCTTACTGTCTGTTAGGGTCTCCATTAAAATGAAACAAGAAAGTGGACCAACAAATATACTTTTCTCCCATCAAATCTCAAAATCACAGCCAAATTTAAGTGTTCAAACAGAAACAAATTATATGTACTGAAATACATGCAGCTGGAAATGGAAAACATATCTCATGAACATTGTTTGACATATGGAACATGAGAGTGAGTGAGTTTGGTTTAACGCCGCTTTTAACAGTTTTCCAGTTATATCACGGCGTGTCAGCTTAATGTGGGAGGAAAGCCCAAAGTGATGCAGGTCGCAGACATTTACCACTTCAGTGAAACCCACGAGCACGGATATGGTGCTGACAAACCTAGAAACATAATCGGGGCGAACCAGGATTCGAACCCACAATCATAGGTTTCTGGCGTGCCCAAGGGACGCAACTCTGCACAGCGAATCGCGGCGCCTTAGACGACTGGGCCACCCATGCCCCCTGGAACATGAGATAATAGTCATAGTTATAATAGATAGTTGTTATGTTGATTTTCAAAGTATAAGAAACAGAACAGTGATTAGTTTGAAGAAGTGATCATGTAAAAGGAAACAAGTAGACCTCTACCTGGGTAGTCAGCAAAAAACTTCTTGAGATGACGTCCTGAGTGAAGAATCTTGTCCTGGAACAAGTCCAGCTTGTTCAGGAACAGAATCTGAAAGGAACAACATGTATTAATAACACTTTATTAAATCAAATACCAGCCACTCATCCAGCTTAAGTGTAAATACAGTGAGGTATTGTTAATGAAACACATCTTGTTTAAGATTATTAATCCTTATGGTCCAAACAGAATCTTGATAAATAATGTCATATATAATAACAATTAGATGTTTGCCTTTACTGATAAGGCAATATATTCTGAAGAAACCCCTATGACTTCAAGACAGTATAAAAAATGTTTCACTGTACATCAATTGTAAAGGTGACTATCAGGAGAATTTTGATTACTGTATTCGACGTAATAAGCGCCCAGGGCGCCTTCAAAATTAGAAATAGGGGGCTCTTATTAGAATGTTATTTTGGTGACAAAAAACAGAGTTGAAAGATAAATTTCGTGGTTTATACTGACAGCCTGAAATGTTTATGTACGACAGATATATTTTCCAGAATTAAATGCCCATTATTAAGGGTGTATATAACACACGAGTGCGTATTAAACGCGAATAAATAAGTCTTGTGTACATTGATCAATCGGAAGGAGTGCTAATTGGGATTGTTCACTAGCCAATATCTTAGCAAATGTCGCTGTGGGCGCTTACTACATCGAATATGGTATTGCAACAGTTAAAACACTATTGCAATTACTATTGCAACATGCAGTGGCATTAACTATTGAAATATTTGTAATAGTATGATAAATACTTTTTATTATTCAACATCATTCAGCAGAAAATACTGGAATAACATTATTCTTCAATTCATTCAGTCTTATGGCACTATCTATAGATAGAGTAGCACGGAATCAGTATTAACTATTTTAAATAACCAAGTGTAGTTTAACATTGAAATGGGGTAATTTGTGTCAATGTACAACTGTGATGCAGGGATAGATCGATCAATTATAACATGCCTAATTTCTTCTTTCTTCATCACATATTGCTGTGAGATCAGCAAGGCGTGTACTTACAGCTCGGACGACATAGAAGTGTTAACACATTCTCATGCTTACCATAGTTGTGTTGATGAAAAATCTGTTATTGCATATCTGTCGGAAGAGGGTGAGACTTTCCACCAGTCTGTTCTGTGAAGAAAAGAAACAAGTACCGGTAAGATTACTTCGCGTGAATGAAACTGACGTGTCACCTTGGAGTGAACGAGTTTAATACTTTCCCCATTATTCCTGAAACTGTGGCTGGTCACCAAGAATGGGCTTCAGACATTGTACTCATCTGGGGAATGTAAGTGTGATGCCCATTTCTCAAAGCAATGGTCCATGTTGACTTGGGGTGTCACAATTCACCAATACATCAAAGCAGCTATAATATTCTCAAACAATACCATATGGGATATACACTCACCTGTATCGATTCAAATGTTATACCTATATCGATTCATATTTTAATCCTGTATCATTTTAGACATGGACCCACTCATTCATAATTAATGTATCTAGTTTTGGGCGCACACCTTGAGTATTTGCAAACAGGGAATTTAGGCATAAAAAAAAATTAAAATTGGTGGTCAGGCAATGACTTATTTTATTTTTGGCTTGTTCAAACTAATATGTAACCAAATAAACAGTTGTGTACCATCAACCTAGGAAAGGGTCTCCCTACATATACAAGCATACAGACTCCTATTGCTGCCAAGACCATAACACGAGATGCGCAGTAAAGCAGTGCACATGTAAAGGGAAGTAACTGTGTGCTATGTGGGATCGCATTGTTTTTATTATAGTATTTGGATTTTGATAATGGAAATAAAAACGAAACATGTGGCAGACTTTATGATGATGCAGGTGGCGCCAGAGAACCAAGATATATTTTTTTTTTAGCCTTACTGTCTTATTTGATAACAGAAAATACTTAGGTTGACACTATAGTTAAATGTGAAATAAAGTATTGATTGAAAAAAGACATCATTATTTCAAATATGAAACAAGATATTCAGGAAGTTTTAAACCTTTTTAATAGTGTTTATGCCCTATGAAATATGAAAATTCATGCAAAATTGGCACGAATCAATTATTGTGATATGTATTGTATAGGAAGAAAGTCATATCATGACATCCCCAATTTTAACACAGCCACAGTTCTACAATCTCCCTTCTGATACAATACAGGCATGACATGGTATAACAGGCTGCAGTAAATAGCTGGACTGTCTGTAGCACAAAACAACATTCAGTCATGTTACATTAAAAACAGCTCACTGAAATCCAATTACAACTTTGGACATCTTGTTTGCTTGTTTGTTTGTGTTTTTAATACCACACTCAGCAATATTCCAGCTATGCTGTAAATAATCAACTCTGAACCAGACAATCCAGTGATTGACATCATGAGCAGCCATCCACGCTATTGGGATACGATGACATGTATCAACCATGTCAGCAAGCCTGACCACCCGATTCTGTTACTCGCTTCTTATGACAAGCTTAGTTGCCTTTAACAGCAAGCATGGGTTGCTGAAGACCTATTCCACCCTGGATCCAGTATAACAACGAACCTAAGCTCTTAGAGCAAGCGACAGCATCAATAAACTGACATATCATAAATCTGTTCAAACAAAGCGTCCCTGTTAAACAGACTCTGCAAGGGAGGGTTGAGCACTAATTGCTTCATGGTACATGTATAGTGATCAATATTACACACAACCACGATGAATTAATGATTAACAATCAATGTTTGGGGATAAATCACTCTAATAAGGTTTTCAAGTAATTCAACTAGAGACCAAGGTTTCAGCATCACATGATGGACTTCTTCAACTATAAAACTGTTTTAGATTTGCATGTTTTGATATGCAGACAAAGGAACAGATATGTTTGGAAAGTTTTCTTTAGGCTGTATCTGTACACTAAAGCTATATTATTTGTACAGATAAGTCATGTGGGTACAAGTGGTGAGCCATTTTGTATGCATAGTCAGGTAATTTAAGGCCATATCATCTGTACAATAAGGTCATTTTATCTTCACAAAAAGACCATTTTATCTGTACAAGATCAATTTATCCGCACAAGGTCATTTTATCTGCACAATAAGGCCCCTTTTATCTGTACAATAAAGTAATTGTATCTGCACAATAAGGCCATTTTATCTGCACAATTAGGCCATTTTATCTGCACAATAAGGTCATTTTATCTGTACAATAAAGTACATGTAATTGTATCTGCTCAATAAGGTCATTTTATCTGCACAAAAGGCCATATTATCAGTGCAGGAGGTCATATCATCTGTAAGAATAAGGTTGTATTATCAAACAATAAGGCCATATTTTCTGTACAATGTGGCTATACTATATGTACAGGAAGGCCATATTATCTTTACATTTAGGCCATATCTGCATTAGAAAGCCATATGACATGTCCAGGGAGGCCATATTATCTGTAAAATCAAGGCAGTATCAGCCATATGACCACACCCCAGACACACCTAACCTGGGATCTGGCTGATTTTGTCTCATCTTACTTCAATTACACTGAGTGATGTTTACAACATCAGTTACAGTTGCCTGTTCCAAGCTTGACCCCCACCACAGGCTCATGTGATGCAGGGCGGTCGGGTAGCCTAGTGGTTAAAGCGTTCGCACGCCACGCCCAAGACCCGGGTTCAATTCCCGACATGAGTACAATGTGTGAAGCCCATTTCTGGTGTCCCCCGCCATGATATTGCTGGAATATCGCTAAAAGCGTCGTAAAACCATACTCCCTCACTCACTAATGTGACGCAAGTGTAATAACATGTGAGTGAGTGAGTGAGTGAGTTGGGTTTAATGTCACCTTGAAGGGCCTAATAATAACCCCACCAACTCATATTCTCTTATTTTTTTTATCTCTTTATGTAGGTAAATGTATGTCAATCTGATGTTCAATTAGTGTCAGTTTTATCAGACATTGCTCTGTGTTTCTTACCATTCTTGTGTCCTCATAGAGGTAAAGATCATAGGAGCTGAGAGCAACTACAAACAGTATACATCGGACATCGTCGAAACACTGGATCCACTTCCTGCGTTCTGACCTCTGACCTCCGACATCAAACATCCTGAAACAAAGGAGGGGACTGTGCTGTCAGTTCATTATATGTGATAACACCTCAATTTTTATATTCTGATGAAGAAACCCCATCTATTAAGCATGCTGAATATGTGAAAATTAAGAAAAACAAACTACGGTTATGACGAACTCAAAGGGACCACTAACTTTAATTCATTTTATACGATGTTCATTCTAAGCATATAAAAAGCATATATACAGCAAATGGAGGGGACCCAGAAATAGTTCGTTATATCCGTTAGTTCGTTATAAGCGTGTTCGTTATAAACATAATTTACTGTATTCCAAAAAGTTTAACTATGTTCCACTTCTCTGCTTGTTTAACCATAATATACAAATACATAAATCAAAACATCATAATGCCTGCCATTGTTGTAAACTCATTAGCATACACAATCAACACTGATATGACACTTCTTAAAATCAATGATAGGTATCTTTTTTCAAAACTCTTTCTAAACACAAAGTTGACCAGACTTTTGAAAGTTACCTCGTCTTGGGTATCATAAGCTAGTACTATTTCCAACACCGTCCACAGGACATTGTACGATTGTATGTGCACACCAACAGAAATGAAACCTGACCTAATTATGACACTCTCTATCTTGAAACATGTTTCTATGACTCCGGTGGTCCTGACCCGTGCCCTCAAGACATCTTTAGCGGTGGGGACATAGCTGGGGGAGCTAATGCGGTCCATGTTCTCAAAGTAACTGCAAATAACAAATGTCACATATCAACTATATAGCACCTTTGTAATGGATTAGGTGGTTAGGCCTGGTGACTTTGTTGAGAGCATGTTATCTTACCACAACGATATGAATTGTTGCTCATCATATCAATCACTGGATTGTCTGGTCTGGAGTTGATTATTTACTGGCCATTATAACATAGCTGTACTATTGCTGAGTGTAGTGTTGAACAACAAAGAAACAAATCATAAGATCAATCACTGGATAGTCTGGTCCAGACTTGATTATTTATAGGCCGTCATATGGCTGTACTATTGCTGAGTGCGATGTTAAACAACAAAGAAACAAATTATAAGATCAAACAGTGGACTGTCTGGTCCTGACTTGATTATTTACAGGCTGCCCCCATATTGCTGGAATGTTGCTGAGTGTGGCATTAAACCACAAACACACGCACAATGTAAGGGTGCAACACCAACCATGACTATTGTATTGCTTTTCTCATCAACTATGTGACAAATGTGACTGGTACAAAATATTTATCGATGATCTGCTTGAAAAATACATATGGACGAAAACGATGTTAAAACCCACTGACTCTATTATTGAAATAATGTAACCGGAACTTGAGAACATTAATCATTTAAGCCTAAGTCAACCAATCATTTAATGATTTGTTTGTGAAGTCATCCGTCCTAAGGAAACACACATAAACAACACAATTCTGTGTACAGGTTTGAAGATGCAGTCCATGTGCCTTTCAATGATAAATATGGAGGTACTAAATTACTACTTATCAACTACCAGTACTTAACACCTAACTCTAACTTAACACCCTGACACTATGGAACAATCCATGTCAGAACTGACTGGCATTGGTATTACTCGATCCTTGCATTCTTTGTACTGAAACAAATACACAGGACATATGATCTCAGTGCTACAATGTTTGTTGAATGACTATTGATCACTGGCTGATGGATGAACATACTGGTTGAAGGGTGATACTTTACACAACGAACAGAATAATCGTTTTGTGTGATAAATGTGTAATACACAGCGCTATTGCTGGAGACAAGTGACCTTTAGCTGTTAAAGACATTCCTTGATTTTATCAATTCTTAATGTTACAGTAATAACTTAATATTAGTAGAAATCTTTGGACACTTCGGCAATTAATGTTAAACCCAGCACAAATAACATCTGGAATGTGTTTTTAGATTTAGCAAAATTGATAGAAGCATACATATAATCCCAACATGATGCCAATGCAATGCCAAGTTACAATTTGATCGAAGAGGGAGTAAAATATGTCTAATGCACTGAATCACCAATCTGCACAGGCTACAAATAGATTGGTTTCACTAATACTTACTATATTGCAGAATCGTTGAGCTCATATTCGTATCCCTTGAACACAGAATGCCTGACCCCTCGATCATGCCAGAGCAGCTTTAGGGCTTTGTAGACGTGAGGCAGCATGATGGCTTTCTTGTCGTAGCATCTCATGCAGGCCATGATCACCTGGGCATGTACCTGGAGGGCAGAAACACACACACTATATACACCACACACTACTTACACATTCTGTATACATCATACACTACTTACACACTCTGTATACACCACACACTACTTACATACTCTGTATACACCACACACTACTTACATACTCTGTATACACCACACACTTCTTACATACTCTGTATACACCATACACTACTTACACACTCTGTATACACCACACACTACTTACACACTCTGTATACACCACACACTACTTACATACTCTGTATACACCACACACTACTTACACACTCTGTATACACCATACACTACTTACACACTCTGTATACCCAATACACTACTTACACACTCTGTATACACCACACACTACTTACACACTCTGTATACACCACACACTTCTTACATACTCTGTATACACCATACACTACTTACACACTCTGTATACACCATACACTACTTACATACTCTGTATACACCATACACTACTTACACACTCTGTATACACCATACACTACTTACATACTCTGTATACACCATACACTACTTACACACTCTGTATACACCACACACTACTTACATACTCTGTATACACCATGCACTACTTACACACTCTATATACACCACACACTACTTACACACTCTGTATACACCATACACTACTTACACACTCTGTATACACCACACACTACTTACACACTCTGTATACACCACACACTTCTTACATACTCTGTATACACCATACACTACTTACACACTCTGTATACACCATACACTACTTACATACTCTGTATACACCATACACTACTTACACACTCTGTATACACCATACACTACTTACATACTCTGTATACACCATACACTACTTACACACTCTGTATACACCATACACTACTTACATACTCTGTATACACCATACACTACTTACACACTCTGTATACACCATACACTACTTACATACTCTGTATACACCATACACTACTTACACACTCTGTATACACCATACACTACTTACATACTCTGTATACACCATACACTACTTACACACTCTGTATACACCACACACTACTTACATACTCTGTATACACCATGCACTACTTACATACTCTATATACACCACACACTACTTACACACTCTGTATACACCATACACTACTTACATACTCTGTATACACCATACACTACTTACACACTCTGTATACACCACACACTTCTTACATACTCTGTATACACCATACACTACTTACACACTCTGTATACACCATACACTACTTACATACTCTGTATACACCATACACTACTTACACACTCTGTATACACCACACACTACTTACATACTCTGTATACACCATGCACTACTTACACACTCTATATACACCACACACTACTTACACACTCTGTATACACCATACACTACTTACACACTCTGTATACACCACACACTACTTACACACTCTGTACACTCCACACACTACTTACACACTCTGTATACTCCACACACTACTTACACACTCTGAATACACCATACACTACTTGCACACTCTGTATACACCATACACTACTTACACACTCTGTATACTCCACACACTACTTTACACACTCTGTATACACCATACACTACTTACACACTCTGTATACACCATACACTACTTACACACTCTGTATACTCCATACACTACCTACACAATATGTTGTATACACCATACACAACTTACACACTCTGTATACATCATACATTACTTACACATTCTGTATACATCATACACTACTTACACAGTATGCTATATACACCATACACTATTTACACAATATGCTATATACACCACACACTAACTACACAATATGTTGTATACACCATACACTACCTACACAATATGCTATATACACCATACACTACCAACACAATATGCTATATACACCATACACTACCTACACAATATGCTATGTACACCATACACTTCTTACACAATATGCTATATACACCATATACTACCTACACAATATGCTATATTCACCATACACTACTTACACAATATGCTATATACACCATTACTACCTACACAATATGCTATATTCACCATACACTACTAACACAATATATGCTATGCTATACATACTACAGTCAAACACCGTTGTGACAAAGTTGCAGGGACAAACAATGATCAACTAGGGCATGATGACAAACAGTCTGTCACTTCAGAGAGTCCTCACTAGCCCTCCCGGAATCCACATATACTAATTTGAAGTGGTTATTGCTGCCAATGCTTGTTCTATGAACGGTATAAATCAATTTGACAATTTCTTACAAAATACATGGATTTGCATTATACATCTATTATACATGTGTGTATTGCTTAGGTGTCTGAATTTGTATTTGACGTCTTGATGGAGGATGCTTATTATGATGTTCATTCATCCTGATCAGAATCTAACTATCTCAGCATGAAACAAAGAGGGAAGTTATTTCCCTGTGACCAGGATATGACATTACAAAATATCTCAGCATATCACAAATCTAGATTTGCTGACGCAAAACCTTCACACAAGTTGTGAATGGCTGTTCCTGAGAACAATGCCGTACCCTGTTGTCTGGGTTCTGCAGGTTGATACGGAGCATGCCCATGCCGGTCAGGACGAACTTCATCGAGCTGACCAGATTATCCAGGACAGCTGTCTGAAACACAAACAACCATACACAATTTATCCTAGTTCAGATACACTTTAGCCTGGTCCAGATACACTTTAGCCTGGCTCAAACACAATTTAGCCTGGTTCAGACACACTTTAGCCTCGTCCAGAAACACTTTAGCCTGGTCCAGATTACACTTTAGCCGGGTCCAGATACACTTTAGCCTGGTCAAGATACACTTTAGCCTGGTCAAGATACACTTTAGCCTGGTCCAGACACACTTTAGCCGGGTCCAGACACACTTTAGCCTGCTCCCGATACACTTGAGCCTGGTTCAGACACACTTTAGCCTCGTCCAGAAACACTTTAGCCTGGTCCAGATTACACTTTAGCCGGGTCCAGATACACTTTAGCCTGGTCCAGACACACTTTAGCCTGCTCCAGATACACTTTAGCCTGGTCCAGATACACTTTAGCCTGGTCCAGATACACTTTAGCCTGGTCCAAATACACTTTAGCCTGGTCAAGACACACTTTAGCCTGCTCCCGATACACTTTAGCCTGGTCCAGATACACTTTAGCCTGGTCCAGATACACTTTAGCCTGGTCCCGATACACTTTAGCCTGCTCCAGATACACTTTAGCCTGTTCCAGATACACTTTAGCCTGGTCAAGACACACTTTAGCCTGGTCCAGACACACTTTAGCCTGATCCAGATACACTTTAGCCTGGTCCAGACACACTTTAGCCTGAACCTATACCAGTGTCCGAAATAACAGCCCTGCCCGCCTGCCCACCTGCCCGTGGCTGGTAACAGAACTGGCAGATAATTTTAAGACTACTTACACATTCAGTTTTATCATAACTCCTCGTAAATTTTCAAGTAATTGTTTCGCCGCTTTTAGGAATATTCCACCAATATCACGGCGGAGGACACCAGAAATGAGCTTCAGACATTGTAACCATGGGGAATCAGCGGAGGTCTACAGCGCGATGAGCAAACGCTCTTACCACTAGGCTACCTTACCGCCCCCACCTGAATCAAGATGCTATTTGTCTCATATTTTCACGATTTTTCAATATTGATGTCTGAATGTGGACAGGTTACTTTGAAGATGGTCAAGCAACATTTATGTGTCACTTGCCCGACTGACTTGTTGAGTTTTAAAATTATTTCAAACACTGTCCTATACACTTTAGCCCATTCCAGATACTCAGGATGCATTTAACCAATTAAGTTAATAGAGACAAAACATAGAACCTAAGTTATGCACACCATAAACTGACTTACAGAATAATTTGAACTACATTGTAAATCACAAATTATTACACCACTTCATAACTGTTCATTGAAGAAGAGGAAACTGAGCATTTATTGGTGTCAAGCAGTAAATACATACTTTTCTTGTCAAAGAACACACTGATGACACTGAGTGCCCTGACAAAGTGAAACCCATATTCTCATTGCGGCAGAATGGAAGTGCTCCAGGCATAAAGTGATGTATTGATTTTATCTTTTCAGATAGATATAGTATTTCATCACCAAATTCCTAAAGTAACACTTTAATTTATTTCATAAGTGCACATGACTGGTAATACATCATATTTCTGCAGAAAAAAATATACCCGTGCTAGCATTTTGTAAGTCAAAATATATATTATAATTCTGTTATTACTTTATTTCATTTTCAATTTTAACCGTGAGTTTTAATTTTCATGAAACTGAATGTGCCACTCTGAGGTAGGACGTTTTACCCGGTAAATGTCAAAAACTGAGGTGACCGGTAGAAGAAAACTGACGAACTTTATAGGGAGGGGAGAATATATATATAATTTTTTTTTTTTTAAACAGATCAATTACAAAGCATTTCATGTTAATTCAAATACAGAATTTCAAACACCTCCTTTATGTATAAGTCCATTCAAAATTGAAAGTCCTACTCATGTCTACCCTGTGAGGTACAACTGTTATCCTTTATGGGCCCATTATTACCTTGAGGAGTGTCCAATATAGACAACACATTTACCACGGCACAATATCCACACAGTGCAAACTCACTACAAACAATATAATTATCTACAAGCATGCTATATGACTCTATCGGGAATGTTTGAAACTAGCGACCCCACACCAGGAATTTAAGGTACTTAAAGAATCCTGTCATTGTGACCATGAACTCATTTCCTCAACAACCCCCAACTAAGCTCATTGGTTTCCTGCACAACCACCACAACAAGCCATACGCCCAAGGATTAAGCGTAATTTGATATTGAACTTTCGGAACTATTACCATTAACTCATCCACCATGTACACTTTTCTTTTACAAGCACGTAAGAAATATCGATTGTTCAGCAGAAAACAATTTGTTTACATCACTAGTCACAGAAAATTGAAAATCCATTTCTCCCTAGTAGATGAAATAGCTCCATAATAATGATGTACAGGTGGAATGTTGCCTCGTGTTTTTTTTATATGACTGCTAAACACGATATTCCTGTTTGTGGGGACATGCCAGTACATGTTGGTTTTCTATACATCACGTCAGGTTTCAAAGGCATCCTGGCCTAATGATTCATCTCAAGTAAAAGACTGTCTCTGGAAAATTGATTTGCCATCAGTTCCCAACAGACTTCTTCAACAAGCATCAATGATCTTTGTGTTGTGTTGCTGGGGAAGCCAACCCACTGAAGCAAGTTTCAATACCATAACCATTACATGGAGTTGTCTCCCCTTTAACCATGTGCCTCACAAACCCTCTCATTGATTCTTAGAAATTTCAGAAGTGATGTTGCATTTTTAATGTTTACCTTACCACATAGAAACTTACCAGATAAAAGCATTTTAGACTACAGTTTTCAAAAACTAATTTAATTGAAATGACAAAACCTGAGTAAAAATAATAATGCTCCCAATTCCACTCGCTCCAACTTCATTGATAAGAAGCTGCCTTGTGAACAAAGAGGCACTGTTGAACTAAGTTTAAATTACACATGCTCGTTGATACAAGCAACTCAAATTCCAAAGCCAATGGATTGTTGTGTGTACATTACATACAGGCCAATATGCTTGATAAGTTATATGATAAATAATCTGCCTGCATGGTATTTCGCCTTACAACTGTGATGTGTCTGTTTCCTGAACATAAAGAGACTTTCATAACCGAGTGTTATTCTTTAATGAAACTGGTGTGTGCATATCAACTGAGTGTGCCTATTCTGAATAAGGATACTTGTTCACAAAATACTTGTTATTCCTTCATAAAAAGGGGCAAGTGTTACCTTGAAGGAGAGCAGTTCCTCATGAGAGAACCCCTCGTTGTGTATGATCTTCATCTGTTTGACTAGAGTGCTCTTCCCACCCTCGGCAGTACCTGACAACAAAGACATGGTCAGATTGTTATTTGTCATAATATTTATGTTCTCACTGTAGTGTTATTGCTCCTGCCAGAAGTAACCTTTTAGCTCCGATGACCTGCCCATTGGCTAGAGAGGGTCCTACGGAAGACGAAACCGCCGTGTACAACTACCATGGACAAACTGATAATATCTTAAGTACATGACTATTTGGTTATGCACTATTCAATAAATACATTTATTTAACCAGTGGATCTTTTAAGGCATTTAGAATTGACTGCAATATTTGTTTGCGTTTATGGAGTTATAGACGTAAAAACCAGTGTGAATACTATGTAAATCTGCATGGCAGAGTTACGCAAAGTGTGCAAACTGGTTTTTACGTCTATAACTCCAAAAACGCAAAAATATAAAAGTCATTTCTTATGAATAAATACATCAACAGCAGTAACTTCAGAGTCTGTTCAATTATTCATTTAACACAAAAAGAAATGCAGATAAAAGTACACATTTGGTCTCATCATTCAGCACAAAAATGAAACACAAGCCCCGCCCATTCTATTATCAGCCAATCATGAAGCAGTAATTTGTTTGTGGGCATGGCCTAAATGCTTTTGGTGAATGAAACATAAACACAAATAAGATGGTAAACCAATAAAATGCAACAGATTCACTTGCAATTTATCTATTTATTTAATAAACCATAACTGTCAAGTCATCAATGTTCCATTGACCTATAAGTGAACAGTGTATTCTGACATTGAAAACAAATGTATTTGTTATGATACAAGGTTAGAGTTACTTAATCTACAAGGTCAACATCTGTAGACACATGTTCAGATGATCTTACCAACAGGTGTATATAATGTAAACAGTATACACAGTGTGTACGTCTGACCTATGAACAGTAGCACAGTGACATGACACATGTTGGCACTATGTCAACACTTACACACAACAATGTCCACTTTTGTCAGTGATGTACACCTGCTTACTTCTTGACATACCCTCTTAAGCTAATACAGAACCACAGGACTCCTCCAGCTACACACACACCTACTGAATGTTTAACCCTTCAAGAACTATCACAATCCCAGCTTTTGTGCAGTGTTTCAAGATGGAGATTAAAGGGACATGGCTTCAGATCATTCTCCTGTCAAGCACCTATGCTGTGCAATACACTCCCAGAAGCCCTAAAAACTGCAGAGGCCCTGTCTGTCTTTAAGGCTAGACTAAAAACATTTCTCTTTGACAAGAATTACCCTAGTACTATGCACACAAGCTGGTATGGAGTTTGGCGCCATACAAATGGACTCATTATTATTATTAACTATGTTGTATTTATATTTACATATAAAGGACAAACAAATTTACTATCTTGTTTCATGGATTTTCTTGGTCAATATGTAAAACTTGACATAAAAATATAGAATATATAAATGTTGTCAGGGTAGATAGGAGATTAATTTCTCCAAGGAAACTCTTATAACACAATTTTTTTTATTATAATGGGAAAATGTTTCCAATCAGCCACAGCATGTTTCAATAACAAGTAGTTTTGCCTTCACACAATATAGGGTAGGCTAGCTCAATTTATCATCCAAAACTGGCTCCCACAGGAGACATATTTGGGTGAGATCAAGCGATATCTACACTGTAGATATCACTGCCATGAAATTGCATCACTATGCTTTGGAGACCATTGTGACATCATTGGTTACCATGACGTCACAATCAAATGACATCACTAATGGCTCTGCTACTGAAGCTGTTAACAGTACTTTTTACACTAAGACACTGCTTATTACTGTCTACAAACTGAAAAAGTTGGAAGAATGATATATTTGATATCAAAAGACACTAGGTTAAGATTCTCTATATAACAAGAAATGAAACTGATGGTGCTGAAAGAACTGTAACTGCACAGTGCTCCTGTCTATAAAGTCATTAGAAGCAGGGTACTTCAGTGTCTCTACAGAGTTCCAACTGGACCTGTTTATTTGTGGGGCTGGACAGCGCCGTCTACTCTGCACATCCTTGCTGGTCATTTATACATTCATTTATGTATAGTAAGTCAGCCTTCGAAATTCATGCTAGTCTGCCAGCCCTAGGCTACTAGATTGCGGAGAGGACAAGTAAAAATCAAGTGACGTTGGTCCTCATTGACTAGTAGCATTTGATGATTATCATAATTATAGTTCTGAACCAGTTCTCAAAGTTTCAAATTTGCTGCAACTTAATAAAACTGACAGAAAATGTAAACATGTATACATTTTTGTTTCGTTCAAGCAGGATAAGCTACAAACTTTAAGGACTAGTGAAATAAGGTATACACTACTCCTTTGGACTAACCAACTGTCTAATCATATTGAAGGTTGGGGTGAGTGTTGTTTCATGTCACTTAATGCAATGTTTTACACAACAACGTCACAACAGGGTATGAAACTCCCAAAAATTTCAGCCAGACCACAGGACTGGCTAGCTGAAATACTTGCCAGCCCTGACCAAAACCTGCCTGCCCACTATAATCATATGTTTCTCAGGATAAGCTAACAGGGTTTCTTTTTGGTTACATTTTATCATTCATCTTTACATGTGAATAAAGGCTTATCATCGGGAAATATTTAGAATATTTTAACATATGAAATATAACCCGACCGTCGGGCAGGGGGATTTGAAAATCTGGCAGCCCGAGTTGAAATCAACCTGTCTCGGACGGTCAGGCAGGCAGGTATTTCGAACACTGGTCACAACCAGAAACTTAAAAAAGAGCCCGCCTCATTGTTCATGTGTTGAAAATCAAGTATGGGTCTATGACAAGACAAGCAAATTCTCCAACTAAAGCCTAGTCCACCCCTAAAGATCAAGTATTTTATGAAAAATACAAAGAAATTGAAATGTATATTATTGTGTGTCCCTTGTATGGTCTGATATGACTATTATCAAATACCCGGTAGGTTAATGGGCAACACACAGAGCATGTGTTTTGTTTATGTGAATATTCCTCCACAGGGAGTAATTGGGCTCAAGGGAATATTATTTCAATAGTTCACATGAATCATTTTGATGATACACTATTCCTGAGAATATATCCTTGTACATGTACATCATATGAACGTCCTTTAGAAACTCAGTCATTGGAAATACTTTTAAAGGAACTCCCTTTCATGTATAGAGATAAGCACTTATTCAACTGGACAATTCTCATAAATGATACTTATTCACTTAACTATTATCAATGCCGCAGATAACCATCTTTAAGTTCAGCCAAGTCAGCAATGCTCACCAACACTGTAAATAACCACTACATCCCAACGGATTTACATCAAAGGCCACATTTTTCCCTACTTTTAATATTTGCTGAGCAAAGTAAATTATAAAATTGATTTATTTCTCCCTCTTGGAGACTGCTTACATGGACACAGACAAAGCCGGGATACCAATTTTCAATGGCTGGATGGTTCAAGATCAAGTTTCCTGCGAACTGCTCTTGTGGACGAAATATGTTACAGTTCACAAACCTGCGAACCGTAGGATGTACCTAGACCAATATTGATCTATCTACACAAAACTTCATGCATTGTTGCTGATGGATCTTTGTCAACAAACAGTCCTGAGAATATTAAATCAGACTTCAGTTTACAGAATCAATATTCTATCCTCAACTGCCGGCTTGCCAATAAAGAAATACACATGCTTTGCTAAGTCAATTTCACAATGAATGGTCTTCCTTTATTTCCCTTTATTTCCCCTCCAGACTCTGATTCTATCATATCAGCTTTCAAATCTGTGTAACTCTTCCCGGCCAATCACCACCAATATTGAAATCAAGCACATCGCACAAACATTTCGCTCATGGCAAACACACAAAACTGTACGTCACAAAGGCATGGCGATAACATCGCCACCGGACCATGACCCATTATTGTGTGATTGGCAGCCCCTTGATGTACTCTGTTGTTTATAACAATCACCCTACACTTATTGTGTACAGGAGTTGTGAACTCTCACCCCGCCACTTAACCCTTCAGATCTCAATTTCACATACAAACACACACAATTCTGATGGCATCTTGACCTAACTTGAGTTAAACATGAACGCCTACAAGTCATATCTTGAAAGAAATTTATCAGTAAGTCTTGATCTGGCCAATACAGGGGAACAGTGGGACCTCTGTTAATAATTATCTTGTTTTTACAGCTTTAATCTTCCTATTTTTAACCCTCAGTTACCGATTACAAACTGGCAATAAAGTTATCTTTTTGCAGTCACTTTTTATTTAATCCTCCTCCAGTATTATGGTTGGTTGGTTGGTTTGTTGTTTAACGCCGCACTCAGCAATATTTCAGCTATATGACGGTGGTCTGTAAATAATCGAGTCTGAACCAGACAATCAAGTGATTGATATCATGAGCATTGATCCACGCAATTGGGATCGATGACATGCATCAACCAAGTCAGTGAGCCTGACCATCCGATCCCGTTAGTCGCCTCTTTAAACTGCTGCGATGAAACTATGGCCATATAATTAGGAAACAATCTGACATTGATGACATTATCACCCACTTCTGACGTGTCTGAATGACATGATCAAGTAAGAAGCACGACATATCTAGCAGTCAGCATGGTCAAGTAAGAAGCACGACATATCTAGCAGTCATCATGGTCAAGTAAGAAGCACGATATATCTAGCAGTCAGCAGGTTTAAGTAAGAAGCAGGACATATCTAGCAGTCAGCAGGGTCAAGTAAGAAGCACGACATATCTTGCAGTCAGCAGGGTCAAGTAAGAAGCACAACATATCTTGCAGTCAGCATGGTCATGGTGATGAAGCACAACATATTTAGCAGTCAGCAGGGTCAAGTAAGAAGCACGACATATCTTGCAGTCAGCATGGTCAAGTAAGAAGCACGACATATCTTGCAGTCAGCATGGTCAAGTAAGAAGCAGGACATATGTAGCAGTCAGCAGGGTCAAGTAAGAAGCAGGACATATCTTGCAGTCAGCATGGTCAAGT